TGGTTCTCATACACAACATGCAATTCACATGCTTAACATGTGTATCATGTGTTTCACATGCATTTTATGCATTATGCATGCACAACATGCATCTCACATGCTTACCATGCATCTCACATGCTTAACATGTGTGTCATGTGTATCATGTGTTTCACATGCATTTTCTGCATTTTGCATGCACAACATGCATCTCACATGCATAACATGCATCTCACACACATAACATGTGTGTCATGTGTTTCACATGCATTTTATGCATTGGGAGCATGGCAACCTCATACTATGCATTAAATGCATATCATGAATTCTACTCGTTTTCGTTGCATCCCCTTTGCCGCTGGAGAGGAGAGAGACAGCTCGGCTTGTCTTTGGTCTCTGCACGCTCCAGAAAAAAAAAAAACCCCAATGCACACAAAAAAAAATGGGCCGTGCCCTTTTTTGGGATCAAAAAAAAACGGAAGCGTCATACATAAGCGTGGGGTGAGTGTCTCACCTTTTGGTGGGCTTTTTTCGCCAGAAGGAGCGTTTCTTCTTGTTGTTGTTGGCGTCTTGGCGCTCCGTGGTGCCTGGTGGGGGTTTCACGTAGAGCACGCCGTCTTTGAACACGCCCTTGCTGCACTTGAGTCCTCTTTCGCCTGAGCCTGCCCCTCCGTCACCTGTTACCAGACAGAGCCGCACGGTGAGCGCGTTCTCACTCCGTTTTTAAAGCGGGTGAAGGAGCACGGGCGCACCCCTCCTGTTGCCTCGCATCTGGTTGAGATAGCTCTTTAGGTCGCTGCCCTTATTCTCCTTCTTCTTCTTGGCCACGAACATACCCCTCTCCTTATCCTGCACGACGAAGACCAACACACACGAGTCAGCCCAATCCGAGTATGTGGTGGTCTACGACGAGGGTGGTTGCACGACGTGAGGTTACGTGGCAGCGACGGCACTGGTGAGGTTACGTGGCAACGTTCATGACGAAACAAATGTTTGGTTTGGTTCGGTATTGTCCCGAGTACTGCGTACCAACTCAGTCCGTTTGAGCTCGCGCTCTTTTTGCTTCTTCTTCATGCCCATGAGGATGTTGTATGGCACTTTATCCGGCTTCGACGCCTGACGTTTTCAGTACCATATATATATATGGTGGTTGGTGAGCACACCGGCTTCGCGGCAGCCGCATGCTCGTATCAGAGCAGAGAGCGAGAGAGAGAGCAGAGAGAGCATAGAGAGAGAGCAGAGAGAGCAGAGAGAGAGAGCAGAGAGCAGAGAGCAGAGAGCAGAGAGCAGAGAGCAGAGAGCAGAGAGCAGAGAGCAGAGAGCAGAGAGCAGAGAGCAGAGAGCAGAGAGCAGAGCAACTGCCATTACCTGTCCCCCGAGTGAGATTATCTTGCGCTCCTCGTACGCTCTCTTCTGCTTCTTCCTCTTGAACTGTGTGGCTCCTGACAGCGTGTCAATCAGTCGCCACACCGCCACCACGAGCCACAAGGCCAATAAAACGGTAAGTCGGTGTATGAATGAACGAACAAACGAACAAACGAACGAACGAACGTACCCAGGTCGAGCACCTCGCGCGTGATGGCCTGGAGTTCGCGGTCGAGCGTTTCCTCCTCTTCCTCCTCAGCGCTCCTCCTGCGCTTCTGCGGCCGGTCGCCTGCAGGCGTCGCCCTGATCTTGCTCACCTTGGACGACTGCAGCGGCCCAGGAACGCACACGTCAGCAGCCGACAGCTCTTCTTCATCCTCCTCCTCACCAATCCTTCTCCTTCTCTCATCCACCAGGTGGGCGGGCGGGGTGGGCGGGGGAGGGGGTACCAGAAAGAGTTTTTTCTCGCGGCGGGCAAGAAGGAGGTCGCCCCCGCCTCGAGCGCCCATGCCCTCAGCAGAGGAGGACCAGGCCTGGTGCGGAGGCACATCCGCCGGCCGTTGTGCGTGTGCACCGCCCACGACCGCTTTTTCGCTCCACGCCCCTCCCGCTTTCCTCTTCATCTCTTCTCTCCTTCCTCTTCTGCTCGCTCGGGCGGCTGGCTCCGGTTTTCCCTTCTTCTTCCACTTCCTTTGTGGTTCTTTTATTTTTCCCCTCCGCACCGCCCAAAATCCGGGAAACAAAAATAAATAAATAAATAATAATAAACGAGCTGTGCGCCACCACGGACAGGCAGTCAGCTTTGGGAGAGGGGGCAAATCAAAGGTCGTTCACGATCTTGATCTTCTTGCGCCCGGGCGTCTCCGCCGTGGTCGACGACAACGACGACGCCGCCGACGACGAAGTACCGGAGGAGTACGAGTAGGCCGAGTAACGGGAGGCCGGGGTGCGAGCGCGCTTGGCCTCGGCCAGCTTGCCCGAAGACTTGATCTCGCGTAGCCGGTCCACCACGCTGCGTGCCACGTGGCCCAGGCCCCAGTGTGCCAGCACGTCCCTTCGTGCCTGCGCCACCACCGCCGCCACTTGCGAACGCTCGGGCGACGTGGGCTCCCTGATGACGACGATGATGATGATGATGATTCTGGATGCCGTTTGCTGTTGATGGCTTTAAAGAAGGAGGGGGGGTTACTGCACGTACACATGGGCCGTGTAGACGAGGCGCATCAGCCGACGGAGGTGCGCGTGAGAGGGCTGCGCCCATTGGTGCTCCCGGGTCGAAGCTGGAACGAGGCCCTCCACCTCGACCCCAAACGAATTGCCCTCCTTCATGAACTGTGTGCTACCTGCACCCCCCCCCCGGTATGCACGCGGAATACCGGAAAGGTCAGCAAAACACACACACGACACACGACACACACACACGGAAGTACAAGCAAAACAAGCCCTCCCACCCACCCGCCCCGTTATTGGCTGTGGTTGGGGGATGGCGGTTGACGTACCACTCCAATTGGTGGCGATGGTGGGAATCTGCATGGCCATGGCCTCCATGAGGGGCAGGCCCCAGCCCTCTCCGTGCGTGGCCAACACAAACGCATCGGCAGCCTGCGTGGTGGTACGCGGGTCGCCCCCAAAACCAAATAAATAAATGAAAAAATAAACAGTGGCGGCATAGGTAGGTAGGTAGGTAGGAAGGGGCACCTTGTAGAGCGCCGGCATGAGTGGGAAGGGGACGATTTCTGTGGCAAACTCGACACGGGGCAACTCGCCCACGGGCACCCCCAACTGAGATGATGATGATGGATGATGATGAGTGTGTGTGTTGTGTGTGGATTGATCGTTTGATCGTGAAACCTCGTGTGTCAGCTGACCACAGGTACATGCGCCGACGTATATGCGCACCACCCGTAGGTGCAGGCCGAGACAGGGGACGTGTCGGGCGGGCAGGGGGGGGGTTGGTTGCGCACCTCGCGGGAGATGTTGTGCTGGAAGGCGCGAAACTGTTCCCTGGCCTCGTCGTTCATGCGGGCGACGAAGTGGAGCGCCACGTCGTTGGCCCCCTTGGCGGCGAATTCGGCGTAGTAGGCGCGCAGGAGCACGTCCCACCCCTTGCGCTGTTCCCACTTGCCGTTGGTCATGAAGTTGAACTTGGCCCGGTTCGCGAGCGGCAACGGCCGCCGCACGGCTTCCGGATCGAACACCGACGCATCAAGCGCCTCCCCTATCTGCAGCGACCCCCCCCCACCAACCCACCAACCCACAGACGCGCCACATGTGCCCGTGAGCAGTCAGTCAACTTGTTGCCGTGGTGCCGGCGCCGGTGGTGGCTGGCTGGTGGCTGCTGGTGGCGCGGAACGTACCTGGTGCAGCTTCCGCGCAGGGATGCCCGCGCCGGCAAAGGTCCTGGTGTTGAAGTCGGAGGGCACCCAGATCTCGTCCACCTGCGACGCCGTGCGTGAATATTTTTATCTATATTAGGACCACCAGCCGCCAGCCGCCGCCAACGACGACTGAAGGTAATCAATCGTGGTGGCGAGGGAAGGAGGGAGGTAGTCCATGCATGAAGGTTGAGGGGTGCACGTGCCTTGGCGCTGGAACCGATCCACGGGAAGGGGATGGTGTCTGTTTCGAACATGGAACGCCCGATGATGTAGTCCGGCTCCACCCCGCGCAGGTCGTACAAATGAGACGAGTAGCGACCCGGGTCCCTGTTTCACATATCCACCCATGGCCCAGCAGCCACCACCGACACACGAGGTACATCAGTTAGCGCTCTTCTCTCTTCCTGTTGCAGCCGCCTGCCCGCCCGCCCGCCCGCCCGCCCGCACGGGAGAAGACAAGCTTGCAGCGCCAGCATCCATTCGACCAAAAGTGCACTTCTTCTCCTCCGGAAGAGCAACACTGCGGGATTGGGGGGGGGGGAGGAACGAGCGAACGAACCTGTGCAGGACGAGATAGATCGTATTGCCGGCCTCCTGAGGGGCGTCGGCCCTCCGCTGATTGGCGGCTCGGAACACGGCCAGCGTAGAAGCCGCCAGTCCCGCCTGGAACCCATCAGAACCAACCCCCAACCATCAATAACACAGCATAACCATAGACACCAATATCGCCATAACCACATATTTAGACACACACACACACTCACACGACACGACACACACGCACGACACACGACACCACACGACACACACGACGTCCACACACGACACACCCACACGACACACACCAGGGGATGGGCAGAGAAAGCCGAGGGAGGAATATACGAATATTTTGGGGGTGGGGAAAAAAGGGGGTGGGCGGCCCCATACGCACCTTTTGGAGGTCCTTGTAGCAGGCGTCAAAGGCCGTCGGCTCCACCATGACGTAGACCAGCCTGGTGTGCGAGCGTGAGAACAACACCGTCCACCCACTCACCCACCAATGCCCGTTGCGTTGCGTTGCGTCGGGAAAAAGAAAGAAAGAAAGAAAGAAAAGAATGAAAGAAAGAAAGGGGGGGTACTCGTTGAGGCCCAGCACGAAGTTGATGCCCTCCACCGTGAAGCCCAGCACCTGGCCGAGGCCGCACTCCATGTTCCAAATCACCGTCGTGTTGGCCAGACCGCCGTTCTTTGATCTGTGGCGGGACCCACGCATGCGTGCACACGAGACACACGACAGCATTCAGTAGTCACTCAGCGCATGAATGGCAGCCGCAACTCTAGAACAGGATCAGCACTCGCGCGTGTGCCTTTGACGGTAGTTATTATTATTATTATTATTCTCTATTGAGCGGGTAGCGCGTACCGATCGACCAAGGCTCGGAGCGTGGGGTGCGCTTCCCACTTGTCGGCAAATGCAATGGCGTCACGCGACTGCGGAGAGAGCGCTTCCTCGTGGTAAGCTGCCCAGGCGCGGGCGTGGGTGCGCGTGTGAGTGAACAACAACAACAACAACAACAACAACAACAACAACAACAACAACAACAACAACAACAACAACAGTGCATGTGATGTGCTTGTGCGTGCGTGCGTGCGTGCGTGGGCGGTACGGTGGGGATCGTAGTGGTAGAAGACAGCGTGGGGATCGTAGATGACCCGCAGGTGCCGCGCGGAAGAGGAAACTCGTGGCCACGACGCGGCGTGACTGTCGCCAGCGGGCGAGGGGTCGTCGGCAGTGGCGGCGGCGGCGGCGCGTGCTGCGAGGAGGAGGGGAGGAGGGGAGGGAGAGGGCGCCGAGGGGGGAGGAGGGAGGAGGCCACCCACGCGCAGGCAGTAGTCCACATCAAAGTACTGGTCCCCGAACTTGGCCGCGTGGAAACCGCCCAGGCTGCGGAACAGCCGACGGCTCGTGAACATGCCCTTCACGCTCACCGCCTCCATCTCCCTGCCGCGGCACACCGGCGGTCAGGCGCGCGCGCGCGCGGGGACTCTTGGGTCGGGGGAAGGAGGGAGGGAGGGAAAGCAACGAGGCGAGCGGTGCCACCACCAGCCACCACCACCTGCTCCGCTGCATGGGCCGCGGGCGGCAGCAGCAGCAGCAGCAGGCTCGCGCCCCAAGGTGAGAGAGGAGGAGGAGGGGAGGGGGCGCACTGGCGACGCTTCGCGAGAGGCACGCCTCTTTCCAAGACCGTGCGGACCTGCTCGCCGCCGCTGTCGTCGTCCGAGTCCTCAGCTCCCGACGCTCGGTGGGCCGCGCGCCGCGTGCGTGAGCCCATGGCCTCACCGGTGGCCTCTTCTCCACCCTCCCGCACCTGCACGCGCGCGGAAGCCACAAATGCCGCGGCATACATAGAAATAGGAATAGAAATGCAGAGGAAAATGGGTCAGGTAACCTCAGCAGCAGGCGGCGGCGGCTGCTGGCGGTGGTTGGCGGTGATGGCTGTAAATAGGATACGCGCCACGTATCGGGAGGAAGAGGCCATAGATTGGGAGGGGGGGGGTTCATACGTTGTTGACGCGTTTGTTGAGCGTGTGCAGCCCCTGCGCCCGGAAGTAGGGGAAGGGCACATTGCCGCGCGCGTCGGCGTCATCGCCTGCCGCAAGGCCGCCACCAACACCACCCTCAGCACGCGTCACACGACGCACATGCCCCACCACCACCACCAGCCACCCACCGCCACCACCACCCACAGGCCTCATCGTAGTCACCGTCGTCGTCCAGACCTCGAGCAAAAGGCCTCCTCACGATCATCGGCCGGAGAGGGGCGGGAGGAGGAGGAGGAGGAGGGGCACGCGTACCCCAGACGAAGTGTTCGTGGGGAAAGCGGACGTTGAGCCACCCGATGCCGGCGTGGTGCACCACGTCCTCTCCGCCGTAGACCACCTTGGAACCCACCACACCCACCGTGCCTGCCGAGCAGAGAATGTAGAGGGCGGCGACGGTACGGTGTTGTAGTAGTTGTGTCGTGTCGTGTGTCGTGTCGTGTTGTCGTCGTGTGTCGTGTGTGTGTGTGTGTGTGTGTGTGTCGTGTGTCTCGTGTGTGGGTTGTCGTGGGTGAGGGCCGAACAGAGGCCAAATCGTGGCTGCGTGGGCGGGCGGGAGCGTGGTACCGTGGTGGTCTTGGTGGATGACGGAGAGGAGGTAGTCGAGGACGTTGTCTACGGCGTTTCCCGGCGGCGGCGGCGGCGGCGGGAAGGTGAAGCCGGAGCGGGCGGGCACCTCCATGGTCTCGAGGAAGAACAGGAGGTGTGTGCCGCGTGCGTGGGAGGCCGCCGCGTTGAAGGCGTGGCTCAGGTTCGTGCCCCGCTCCTCCACCAGACGCACCCGGGCCTGCTGCTGCTGCTGCTGCCATTCGACTTCGAGGGCCGTGAAGATCCGCTCTCGCTCGCCCAGGCCGTTGCCCACCTGCACCACCAGCAGCTCCCACGAGGCCTATATTGGGGAGGGGGAGGGTCGCACCGGTTGCGCAACACGTGTGGCACACACGCGACACCACACGGACCAACGACCAATGTTCCGTTAACACCCGAGTGATAAGCACACGTGGGAGGGGAGGGAGGGG